GCCTGACATTTAGTACATATGTATGTTTGCACGTGACCATCCAATTCCTCTGCCAATGGATAAGAAATCTGGGGAGCAGTACACTACTACCTTTTTAAAAATAATAATAAATTGATTAAAATAATACTCTACATTTGGGTGATATTTTAACAATTATACCATGCTTTTATATACATGATCTCAACACCCCAGGGGAAGATGGCAAGTGAGGAATTATTATGCCCATTTTACAGATGAAAAACAGTAGGCTCAGTGACTTGCTTAAGGTCTTGAACAATCAGAAAGTGATGGAGTTTGGGCTTAAAGACATTAGATTCTAAGCCAAAGTCTCCCCAGTACTTGGGATTACTTCTAATATACCTGCACATAATATTAAGATAACTATCAATATTTTTTCTGCTCCTACTCTGGGCCAGGCACTAATCCAAGTATTTGACATATACTCTACATGGAGTCCTTACAAGAAACCCATGAGGTCTGTGTCATTATGATCTCTACTTTACAGGCGAGGAAACTGAGGCCCAAAGAGGTACAGTGACATGCCCAAAGTCACCTGGCTAATTAATGGCACAGTCAAGGTTTGAACCCAAACAAGTAGCACTCCAGAACATAAGGTCTCCACCACTTTAGAACATAAAGTCTCCACCACTTTGCCATACTGTCAGTTCAGCAAGACTGGAGACACCTGCTCTGCACAAGACAGCTGTGGCTGCCCAGAACCCGCCAGTTCATGGGACTGAACTCACATTTAATAACACAAACTACAAAGGATTATCCAATAATTTTTCTTGTTCTGAAATTTGATCATGCAAAGGTGATAAAATTTGCCTAAAATAAGCCAGGATTAAGATAGCATCTTATTAAACCCTTCTGATAATTTTATTATAACAATCATTGTAACTCAATTTGACCTATTCTGAAAGACACTATTGGTTACTTAGTCAAAAGCCAGTCCCTGCCCTCCACCACGTGTGTGCGTGCGCACGCGCGCACACACACATACACAAACCTCCTTCCTTCCACACTGGCAAATCCTGCTGCCTACTATAGAGAGTAAAAAGTGAAGACACCAGATCTGCCTGTTCCTAGACTTTTTTGCAGAAAGGCCATGGGTATATGACATGATCCTGGCCTATGGGATCCAATGATAAGACTCATGGGGCCTCTAGAAAAGGTGTTCTTCCATGACTTAGACAAATGGATGAGGAAATGCCCCCTTTAATGTGGTGGATGTGGTAGTGCCTTACTGACATCCAGAATTACTGCAGCCACCTTACAATCATGATGACTGTAGTTACATAGCCAGCACGCAGGACAGCAGAACAGAAAGCCAGACAGTGCCTGGGTCCATGCAGAGCTGCTGAACAACTCTGAAGCTTCCATGCCTTTGGACTTCTCATCTGGTAAGGTAATAAGTGTCCTGGTAACTTAAGCCACTTCAGCCTGGCTACTGTCTTACTTGCAGCCAAAAGTATCCTAACTCTCAAGTTTCAAGAGGCAGTGCTACAAAGAAGAAAGAGGTCTGGATTTTGAGTCAAAAGACTCAGGTTCTAATCCACTTACTTGCCATGTGACCTGAATTGCTTACTGTCTCTGAACCTCATCTTCTATATCTATAAGTTTGAGATACACTCAATAACACCAATAAAATGTAATAATGCAGGATAGTTATGAAAATTATGTGAGATGATGTGTATACAACCAATCTGTCAACAGCAATGTAGTTGGTCTTAGGTAATAATTAAACTATAGACTTGTTAAACTGAAACCATCCATCTCACCTAGCTCCTTTATTTTACAAGAGAAGAAACATTGATTCCAAATATAAAATGACTCACTCAATGCCACATAACTGCTTGGTAACATGATTAAACCACATAGCTCCTGACTCCAAATCCAATATTGTCATTCTAGCCTCATGTTGATAGGTAATAAGCTAGATTAAACATTGGACACTCATTCATTCAGCAAGTGTTTAGTGAACACATACTATATACCAGGTGCTACTCTACATATTGGGGACTCCTTGATGAACAACAACAAAATGCTCTTACCCTCATGGATTTAACAGTCTAGAAAGGAAAGGATCCAATCTACACCTTTTTTTAAAAAAAATTATTGAGTGACTACTATGTTCTAAGCACCATGCTGGGATTTCTGTTCAATTCCAAATCCAAATTCCCAATAATTATTGATCATGCTTACCAGGCTTTGCTAAAGAATGAATAATAATCTGAAAAGCTTACATTTTACTCAATAAAAGTCATTATTAAAAAATGAGAAGTTCATTAGAAGGAGTTGTGAATCACCAAACTAGCATCTGAAAACATGGACAGAATGGGAAAGAATGCTAGGACTCCACTCTACTTGAAGCAGCAGGATTGAATGAAACAGGTTAGAACTACACCATGTCCTTCCTTCTACAGTCTCCTGACTTCAAGGGTTGGCTCAGTTGGAAAAGCCCAGTAGGAAGCATTCTGTAACTCCTTCGCTTCTCCAGGCCTCTGTCTGGTGCCCTAGACTCTCTTTTGACTCATAGTCTATCTGGAAATCCTCTTCTGCACTACCTAGAATAAACAATCACACACCAGTGACATGATGGAACAGTATCCCAGACCTCATATAAAAACAGACTGAACTAGTGACATTCAGCATCTCCAACCGGAACTGGCTATCCAGCTGCTCAGACTGGGCCATTAGCTTGTTTGTTTGAAAGTTTGATTTGCCAAAATTACATAATTTGGAAAAGGAATATGTAAAAGCTGTTCTTTTTCAAAAATTCCATAACCCACAATTTGTAGGAGTTGTTAAGGAAGAGTGTGTGTAACACTGTTTAACAGTCCATATGCTTTTTGTGATTACCTGGAACAGAGGAAAAAGGGAAGGAAGGAAGGAATGAAAGAAAGAAAGGAAGGAAGGAAAGATGGCTTCCCCAGGGCATATACCATTGATTCTGAAAGATTCTTTAAAAAAAAAAAAAAGGCATCTTGTTCTCCCTCTAAACAAATGGCAAGAGTGTTTCTGTGTATGTGTCACCTTATAACCAGAAGTACAATTTTAATTCCTGGGTTTGGAACGCTCTAAGAAGTTTCATGATTATCAAAATAAAAAATTTTAATTCATTTTAACTGGTTAAATAATAATCACCATTTGGAGGCAGAAGGGGCAGAGAAAGATGTGCCACAAAATAAAACATTTGACTTTAAGCAATGCCAAAATCAACATTTTTAGATCGTATCATTTTAACCACATTGGCATCAGTTGGGCCATACAAAGTCTAACTTTCCAACTGTCATTAGACTGGCTACAGTTTTGTTTCCTAGAACGCCAGACTACAAATGCAGGTCTTTGAGGAATACTTATCTATTCTAAGAAAGACTTAGTCTGGAACCAGACAGAAACAGTGGCATCAAATCCAAGTGGGCACAGGACAGCGCAAAGAAGGACTCAACAGCCCCACTCCCTGCTACTGGCCCCTCCATTAGCTACATGTTCAATACGGATTAAAAGACTTGTACATCCACTTTATGATGTAAAGCAAAGTGCAACAACAAACTGCCTTTGGATCACAAGACAGTACATGCCAAACATTTCTGTGCAACCAACTCTGTGGCAGCAGAAAAACTGCTTATCCTGCTCATCTTTTTATTAGTAAGTTTAGCAGCAATACTGAGCTCAGAATGAAATTCAAGATCCTCTAGAAAATTTAGGGGCAGCCTACTTTCCTGGGAGATCTGGGAGATCATGGGGCACCACATTCCTGCCTTGAAACTGTCCAGCTGTCCTCCTGTCACAAGGTTTCACCAGAAAAAGTAAATGGGAAAGACCTTTCATTCATTCATCTATTCATTCTTAGTTAACCCAGCCCAGAAGCATTCCTGTCGTTGGGAGATGCTGCCCCCATTCACCTCTCACCAGAACTGCGTAGGGTGCCCTGTATCTGAAGCTCAGTCCTGGAGCTTCACTGAAGACTGGGGTAGGTAAGAAAAGAAAAATCCCAGAGTAAATAGATTCAAAAGTCAAAGGCAAATAGTGGTGAGTCCAAACTGGACCTCTCCAAATTGTGCGCTGCCCGTGGGTCCTGGGAGAGGGTATACACCTGCCTACATATACATGCACGGATAACACACACTTGCAGCTCATAATAGCTCTCCTGCAAGCCCAGGGGCAGTTACTACCCAAGGATGGGGCTGCCGGCAAAGCTGTCTTTGCCTAAACAACTTTCGCCTTCTCCAGCTTGGGCAGGAGCATATGTATGTCCACCAATACTCCAAGGGGCGACTTTTTCCCCGGGACTCAGGTGCTGCTGAGGCCCCTGAACCCTGAACAACTCTGCCGGCCTCACAGCCCTTTTTCTTTCTCTGAAACACCCAGATTCCTTTTGAGGTAGCTCCAGTTCCACGCAGCGTGCGCCCCATCCGTCAAGGCTGGAGCCTGGGGCTGCCCAACCTCTCTCCCTCCCAAGAAACTTCTCAGCCTCCTCCCCTCCTACCCCCACCACGCCGTGAAGTAAAGGCCAAGGGAAGGGAGCTGGCAGGGAGCCGGTCGTTGGGTCTGATGGCACCTTAAGAGCCCCAGTGCAGAAAAGAAAAAGGAGTGACTGCCTTCTCCACGTGGAGGAAAGGAGAAATGAAGTGTGGGCGATGTGAAGGTGCCCCTCTAGGTTCTCGGGACTCCCATTTCCTGGTGGGATGGGGGCAGAGGGGTTTTTATCCCCAGGGGAAAACTGTCCGCTGCTCCCAGCCTGGACACGGCCAGCCTAGCGCCAAGCGTGCATACCCAAAGGGGCTTGGGCTCGGATAACATTCTCCTGGCGCCTGCTGGGAACAGTGCCCCCATCTCTGGGTAGAGCTCCCAGCCTCAAGAGGCAGAGGAACCGAAATCTGGCTTTCTAGCAAGGCCCTGGGGTAGGTTCCACACAGCTGCCCGCGCACGCCCACCCGCAGAGGGCTCCCCACAGCCAGGCGAACCCCACTTCCCTCGCGCCCAGGCTCCCGCACCTGGATGTGGCAGGAGATCTCCGAGTCGTCCAACAGTCGGATGGTGCATTTCATTTCCTGGCTGAGCGATTTGATGCTAGAGCTCCGAAAGTGGATCATTTTCATGGTCCTCCTGCCTCTCGGCACACAGTGGCAGGAGGCGAACATGCACCGCAGCCAGGAGGAGCGAGCAAGAGGCTCAGGGCCGGTTCTGCTCGGCGCTCGCCCTCAGGGAAACACACACTCCAGCAGCCACCGTCCTGAACACCTGGGTGCGACTCAGCTCCCAGACGGCACTGGCGACAGGAGCCAGCAGCCACACTTGCCGGGCTGCTGGAGCATAGCGGGCGGGTCCCTCCCTCTTCCTCCTCCTACCTCCTCCCCCTCCTCTCCCTCCTCTCCAGCGCCTCGCCCAGCTCTTTCCCCGCCTCCGCCCAGTGTGCGCGCTCCTGTGCCTCCCTCCGCCTGGTCTCCCTTGCAAAGGGTGCCCTCAGCCCGTAATCCCCAAGCAGGCGTGAGATGCAGTCACTCCCGAGCCCCGTGCCTCGTGCCTCGGAAGAAGGCGGAGGGACTGCTGGTACTGGGAACTGGTCGCCCAGCAGTGGCCTGCTCCTGCCACTGCGTCAGGCTGGGCCCGGCCACCGCCTCCTGCTTCCACCTCGATTGCTCTAGCTCTGGGTAGCGCTCGTCTCTGCCCCGGCTCCCCCATGCGCCCGAGAGCTCTGCCTGGCCCCAGGGACCTGGCTGCAGGCAAGGGATGGCCGGTGATCCTCATCTACAACTGCAGGGAGGATTCCACCACGGGAGAGGATTGTTGGACCAAGGACGAATCCCAGAGAGTGACACGAAACCCTGGCACAGCTACACCAGGAATGCCGCTAAGAGTTTCAGTCTGTGGTACTAATCAGGATATCTTTAAGCCTTTATTTTACTTAATATTAACTGGAGTCAATCTCCTTCTCTGAAAAATTCAGAATCTCCCTTAAATTCTCATGGTGACGTCTCCCAACATTTCAGTATGATTTTTGACAGCAGTACCTTAGACCTGAGGGAGGCGGCCCCTCCCCTGCCCCGCCCCCTTTAGGGACCTGGCTCCCCCTCCCCGGTTGCCCAGGAATATAGACGTGCCCCATCGCCCTTTAGGCCAGCCTCTGGGTACTGAGGACCCCCAGAATTCCTCTCGGCCTCCAGGGTGTTAGGGATCTCCTGCCTCTCTGCCTTCCCCAGGTGGTTCAAGCACCCGTGTGCTGTGCCCTTGGGCCCAAGGGGTCGCTGTGGGGCAAGGGGGTGGAGGTTGGATAAAGAGACCAGGCGTCCAGGAGTGGGAAGAGAAGGATGGCTCCTGGCCCTGCTGCCCTTTCCTGGGTGTGATTTAAGGAGTTAGAGGAAGGACTTGTTGCTCAACTGTCAGCTCTTGTTGCAACTACATAGAGCCCCGTATCCAAAAGCTCAACTTATCCTGGGGCTGCAGCAATCACCACCCATCCTTTTCACCTAACCTTGGTGTGGTCCAATGGGCCACACAGGCTCCAGGCCGCCCTGTGGGGTTGGCTGGGTTTTGGTGGAGCCTGCACTGCAGACGGACTTCTCCGCCGGCCTGCTTCTGCTTCTGCTTCTGCTCTGTGCTGAACACTAATGAATACCCTGCAGGCCCAACTCAGTCTCAGTATCTGCTCCTGCAGACTCCAAATGTGGCAACTGGTGAAGACAGAAGTATGGACTATATTTTAATACAGATTGATTGTTGCTTTCAAACCGTTAGACAAGAGTATGTGAGCATCCTTGTGCTCTCTGGCACTGGGCCCGAGAATCTCACCGCAGTTCCTCACAGGGTCTGGGAAGACCTGGATATGATTCTTGACCCAGCTACCGGCCAACCCTGGGGATCCTGGGGAAGTTTTTTCATTTCTGTTCTTAACTTCAAAGATGAACAGTTTCGTGTTTGTTTTGCCCATGTCACAGGTGGCGGAGATGCTGGGGAGAAAGCAACTCAATGGTCAGTAGAGGAGGCCAGGTTGGGCCTATAATCTGCAAATCCCCACATGCCCAGGAGAGGGGGCAGTGATACGATTGTCCCAGTCCAGCCTCCCAACCCAGAGAGCAGATCTAAGGTAGCCTAGACCTCGAGGAAAAGTCCACACCCAACACAGCCCACACCTCTCTTTGAAGGATAGCTAATCCATCCTTATTACAATTGCCTTTGGCTCTGAAAGAGTCATACTCAACAGTCTAAAACCATTATCTCAACTTTCAAGGAAACAGACTGTGACCAACAAGGACAGCAGGAAAAAGAACAAAGGTCACCCATGGTTAGGAAATGAGAAGTATCTGGGATTGGTTATCTGGCCTAGTTTGGAAAGAAGGCTGAAATTCAGCTAATATAAGGATATGGGCCCTGGAAGCCCTTGGCATACATGAAAAAACCAGCTAGGTAAATTACTGCATACTGTCGCCTGGATTGAAGTACCCATTGAAGACAAGGCTTTAGGAAACCAAGTGACCAGGGTCAAATATATATCTATCTATATCTATATCTATATCTATATCTATACCTGTATCTGTAACTATCTATATCTATACAGATTCACATACATAGCAAGAACTCAAAGATGAACTCAAGAGATGAGTTTAAAACCAGACCACTTAAAGAAAAGCAATGAAACACTCAGATTTCTAAATTCTCAGCTCAAGACTTAAAAATCTGTATTCTTTACCACATGATTTCACTTATATGTGAAATCTAAAAAACAAAATAAGTGATCAAACAAAACGGAAACAAATTCACAGGTATAGAGAACAAACTGATGGGGGGCATGAGGGGACTGGGTGAAAAAGGTGAAGGAATTAAGAAGTACAAAATGACAGTTACAAAATAGTCAAGGAGATATAAAGTACACCTTAGGTGATATAGTCAATAATATCATAATTATGTATGGTGCCAGGTGGGTTTTAGAATTATTGGGGTGACTACCTCCTAAGTCATATAACTACCTAACCACTATGTGGAACACCTGAAACTAATTATATTAAATGTCAACTGTAACTGAACTTTTTTTTTAATTTTTAAATTTAAAAAATCTGTATTATTTCTACCACAGAGCTGAAATAATTTTTATTAAATAAACCACAAGGCTAAAATAACTGAAAATCACTCAAAATTTTATCAACAAGTTGCCAAATTACAAAGTCAATTGAATTATCAGCCTCACCAGATTTCATGTGTAAGAGAGAGTTGTCCTCTCGTGTGTAAGAGAGAGGAAAGAGTAGGAATCTGGGAATAAAATGGGACCATATCCCCTGGCCAGTGTGGATCAATTGGGTGCAGCATCATCCTGTAAACAGAAAGGTTTCAGGTTTGATTCTTAGCCGAGGCACATAGCTAAGTTGTGGGTCTGGTCCCCAGTCGAGAGTGTAGGAGAGGCAACACATTCTCACATCAATATTTCTCTCCCTCTCTCTCCCTCATTTCCCCTCCCTCTAAAAAAAATGTAACCATAAAATAGGATTTGGATAATTCCTAGTCACTCAACCTCCCAAGTCTCTCTTTGTACCACAAGCATAACCTCTTCCCTTATATCCTAAGAATGTTTCTGTCCTGTTTGAAGACCTTATTCTGACCTCACCTAAAGCAGTTACCTCTGAAAGGAAGCTAAACTCCTCCCCATCCCTCGCTCACCACCTCTGACTACTCTCTTAACTCATAATACTTGAATCAGATCCAAGTACACCTCAGAGACCAATTACAAAGTCAACCCCAGAGGGAGAACTACAAAACTCTGCTAACTTAAACTGAAGTGAATAGCCCTGGCGGGTGGGGCTCAGTAGATTGAACACTAGCCTGCAAACTGAAAGATTGCTGGTTCAATCCACAGTCAGAACACATGCCTGGATTGTGGGCCAGGCCCCCAGTTGGGATGTGCAATAATCTGATGTTTCTCTCCCTCTATTTCTCCCTCCCTTCCTCTCTCTAAAAATGAATAATTTTTTTAAAAAGTATATGTGTGAATAAATCTAAATTTGTCAATTTGAGCATACTTTCCAGTAAATCTGGTTTTAACATACTATTTAAATTAATTGATCTCTAAACTCAACTAAAGGAAAATGAGGAGGAAATCCCATGGTATTTTACAGGAAAGAATCCACAGAATCAAGGAGAAAGAAGTATTGAAGTAGATTTTCACACGTAGCCACCTCACCTCTCTTGTAACCATTTCTTCCAAGGGCATCTCCATCAGGTCTTTCAGAGAACCACTGGTGAAAGGGCACTGCCATCCTTGTAAAGTTCCACAGTGGCCGTGAACGGTAAAGCAACCAAGAGGAGCTCCCTGGTTTAAATGGGATGATGGGGGCCTGGATTAGCAGAGGATAAGTAGTACCAAGAAGGGAATAAGCAACGGGGACCAAGTAGAGTTTAGGGTGATGTAACACATGGGGAGTACAATATTGGATCTACAGGATGACAATATTTCTAGGTCTAGTAAACAAAAGCCTAATAAAACTCCCCTGCAAAAATTTCCAAATCAGAACCTGTCCCTCCAAATGACCAGAGACATCTGAGTAAAGAAAAGATGGGTCCACCTGAGGAAAGAAAACATAGACCATAGCAGTGAAGAACTGATATGGTCCAGTTCTTAATAAAGGAGTAGCAGTGGACGAGATTGCAATGTCTCATGGTCAGCGGAAATAGCTGCTACTCCTTATCAAAAACTCCCACTTCCCCACCCATGAGTCACAGCACTTCGGTGAGCTACAGATGGAAAACAGGTGGCCTGACCATGAAAGATTGATGGTAGTAAGTTTTGTATATTGACTAAAATTTTTAAGCATTTTAGAGCCCTTAAAATTGATAATTAAAATAAGAAATACTTAGGCATAAATCTAACAAAATATCTACAAGATTTATATGAGAGAAACTACAAAACTCTGATGAAAGAAATCAAAGTAAATAAATAAATGGCGAGATGCCTGTTTGTGGATGGGAGGACTCAACACTAGTTAGGATATCAGTTCTTTTCAACTTGATCAATGCAATTCAAATCATAATCCCAGCACGTTATTTCATGGATATCAACAAAAATTTTCTATAGTTTGTGTGACAAGGCAAAAGGCCTAAAATATAACACAAGACTAAAGAAAAATGAAAGAAAAGACTAACACTACTTGACTTCAAGACATAATATAAAGTCATAGTGAACAAAAACAGGTGATACTGGAAAAAGAATAGACAAATTAATCAATGGAAAAGAACAGACAGCCCCAAAATAGACCCATATATATATAGTCAACCGATCTTTGACAGAGAAGCAAAGTCAGTTCAATAGAGAAATTCAACTACCCTTTTTTTGTGCTGGAA